TGTCCCCGCCACCAGCTGCGGGAGCCCCTGGCCAAGGGGCAGCGGGTGCTGGCGGGCGAGGGCATGTCCCAGGTGGTGCGCAGCCTGCTCGAGCTGGTGGCCCGCAGGACCTACTACAGCGGGGACCTGCTCTTCTCCGTGGAGATCCTGCGCAACGTCACCGACACCTTCAAGAGGGCCACCTACATCCCCTCCGCCGAGGATGTGCAGGTAGCGGCGTTGGGTGCTCGCCCTGCTGCAGTCCCCATATGTGTCCCCAGTCCTGCTGACCCCCCGGCTCTGCAGCGCTTCTTCCAGGTGGTGAGCTACATGGTGGATGCGGAGAACCGGGACAAGTGGGAGGATGCTCAGCAGGTGAGCCGGGAACGGGGACAGCACCCACATCCCCCCGTGGGGACCCGGATCCGGGCATGGACCTTCCCGGCCACTGCCGGAGCTGGGCCCCGTCCCGCGCCCGCAGGTCTCGCCCGGCTCCGTGCACCTCATGAAGGTGGTGGAGGACTTCATCCACCTGGTGGGCGACGCGCTCAAGGCTTTCCAGAGCTCCCTCATCGTCACCGACAACCTGGGTGAGCGCGGGGCCACGCGCGAGCCGGAGCGCGCCCGCCGGCCCCGCTGATACCCGCTCTGCCCGCAGTGATCAGCATCCAGAGGGAGCCCGTGTCCGCCGTCTCCAGCGACATCAACTTCCCCATGAAGGGGCGGCGGGGCATGAAGGACTGGGCGCGCAACTCTGAGGACAAGCTCTTCATCCCCAAGGAGGTGCTGAGCCTCTCCTCGGCTGGTAAGGGAGCGCTGGGGGCCGTGTGAGCCTGCACACGTGTGTGCAAACATGCACGGGGAGCGGGGCTTGCACGTGTGGGCATGCACAAGGGTGAGCATGCACGTGTGTGAGCTAGCTCGTGTGACTATGCACAAGGATGAGCATGTACAAGGGTGAGCATGCATGTATGAGCATGCACGCGTGTGAGCTTGCACATGTGAGCATGCACAAGGGTGAGCATGTGTGTGTGAGCATGCAAGTGTGTGAGCTTGCACGTATGAGCATGCACAAGGGTGAGCACGCATGTATGAGCATGCACGCGTGTGAGCTTGCACATGTGAGCATGCACAAGGGTGAGCATGTGTGTGTGAGCATGCAAGTGTGTGAGCTTGCACGTATGAGCATGCACAAGGGTGAGCACGCATGTATGAGCATGCACGCGTGTGAGCTTGCACATGTGAGCATGCACAAGGGTGAGCATGTGTGTGTGAGCATGCAAGTGTGTGAGCTTGCACGTATGAGCATGCACAAGGGTGAGCACGCATGTATGAGCATGCACGCGTGTGAGCTTGCACATGTGAGCATGCACAAGGGTGAGCATGTGTGTGTGAGCATGCAAGTGTGTGAGCTTGCACGTATGAGCATGCACAAGGGTGAGCACGCATGTATGAGCATGCACGCGTGTGAGCTTGCACATGTGAGCATGCACAAGGGTGAGCATGTGTGTGTGAGCATGCAAGTGTGTGAGCTTGCACGTATGAGCATGCACAAGGGTGAGCACGCATGTATGAGCATGCACGCGTGTGAGCTTGCACATGTGAGCATGCACAAGGGTGAGCATGTGTGTGTGAGCATGCAAGTGTGTGAGCTTGCACGTATGAGCATGCACAAGGGTGAGCACGCATGTATGAGCATGCACGCGTGTGAGCTTGCACATGTGAGCATGCACAAGGGTGAGCATGTGTGTGTGAGCATGCAAGTGTGTGAGCTTGCACGTATGAGCATGCACAAGGGTGAGCACGCATGTATGAGCATGCACGCGTGTGAGCTTGCACATGTGAGCATGCACAAGGGTGAGCATGTGTGTGTGAGCATGCAAGTGTGTGAGCTTGCACGTATGAGCATGCACAAGGGTGAGCACGCATGTATGAGCATGCACGCGTGTGAGCTTGCACATGTGAGCATGCACAAGGGTGAGCATGTGTGTGTGAGCATGCAAGTGTGTGAGCTTGCACGTATGAGCATGCACAAGGGTGAGCACGCATGTATGAGCATGCACGCGTGTGAGCTTGCACATGTGAGCATGCACAAGGGTGAGCATGTGTGTGTGAGCATGCAAGTGTGTGAGCTTGCACGTATGAGCATGCACAAGGGTGAGCACGCATGTATGAGCATGCACGCGTGTGAGCTTGCACATGTGAGCATGCACAAGGGTGAGCATGTGTGTGTGAGCATGCAAGTGTGTGAGCTTGCACGTATGAGCATGCACAAGGGTGAGCACGCATGTATGAGCATGCACGGGGGCCAGGAGGGCTGTTTTTATTCTTCTCTTTTTGGTATCGATTTCGCTGTGCTTGCTGCTGGAGACGGATGCCTCCCGCCTGCCACATGCGATTTATTAGCGCGGGCGCTTCAGCACGCGAGCAGCAAAGTAGGGCACGGCGAGGGGGGCAGCTGCATCCCCCTGTCCCCCGGTGCCGTGCATGGTCCCTGCTCCGGGGTCACCAGCCCAGCATCACCGGTCCCCTGGGGAGGCTGGTGCTGCCCTGGGGACGCGGGGAGGGTGACTGTGATGAGCGTGGCAGGTCTCAGCGCAGAGGCGGCCCCGGGGGCTGAGCCGCTGCTGTCCCACAGACCCAGTTCCCTGGTTTTGCGGCTCGCTGGGAGCCAGGGTGGCTTTGCCAGCGCTGCTCCGTGCGGCCGGCAATCCGCGGGGGGAGCCTCGAGCCTCCCCAGGGAAGTTTGCCTTGGGAACAGGGCGCCAGCTCCTGCCGGGCTGGGAAAAGCCACGGGTGGCTCTTGGAACCCCCCGGCCCTGCTCCTGCCTTTCCAGTGGGAGTCAAGCGAGCGGGAACCCTGCTTCCCTGCATCCCTGTTTCCCTGCATCCCTGCATCCCTGCTTCTTTGCATCCCTGCTTCCCTGCATCCCTGTATCCCTGCACCCCTGCATCCCCTCCACTGCTCCTGGCTGCCCGGCTCCTGCACGCCTTGGAGAGGGAAGTTTCATGGAGCCTCCGCACTCTCCTGCTCCTGGCGGGATCCACATGGGTTCCCTGGGGGCGTCTTTTGCCCCATATCCAGCTCGGGATTATCCCGTCTCCTGGCCCCGCTCCGGGCAGGTGCCAGCGAAGGGTTAAGCCAGCGAAGGCGCGAGGGGCTGTGCGCGTTTGATCATTTCCAATTGCTCTCCTGCTCGTTCCTGTTCCATTAATCAGGGATGCTGGCTTGGGAAACTGGGACACGGAGAGCTGCCAAACCCTGGAGACCCTCCCGGCACACACCAAATGCCAGTGCCGCCAGCTCTCCACCTTCGCCGTCCTCGCCCAGCTGCCCAGGGACCTGGTAGGTGCCAGGCAGGGGGTCGCGGCCACCAGTGGTTGTGTCTTGCCGGGGGTGGGTGCAATTCCCATGCCAAGGGATGGGGATTTGCTGGGCACCGGCTGAGCGGGATGCTGCCGGGGCCATCGGATGCACAAGGGGGGCCCTTGCAGGGAGGGG